TAATGTATCCTTTTATATCATAGGTGAATTGTATTTGTAATCGTGAAATGGTAGTTTCATGATTCTTTCAAATCGTTATTGCAAAATAATTTATCAATTAATTTATTTTTTTTAGCTACTTTATCTTATTTAGATGATAATTTAAAATATTTCTTTCATAAACAAATGATTTATAAATATTTATATGTTAGTTTTTTAGTCAAGTTTCATTTCCTAATCTAATTTGCGTTTTTTTTCTATTATTTCAATTGAAATTTTGCTTGATTCGGAAACGATTAAATTAGGGTATAATTTTACTTTTCATTTGCTTACCAGATTATTTGCACCAAATTTTATTTAATGTGAGTAAACAGGATACTCGAACAAACTTTTCACAACACTAATTCAATGCAGAATGTTAGCAATTATCAGGTTTTACAAGTATAATCCGAAACAAACTTCCTGGAAAAAGCTTATCAGAAAAGCTTAAATTGTATATAATTCTTTCAACTGCCTGAAGTATTTGTCTAAAATCCATTCAACTTTCAAAATGGGCTTCTTGTCAGACATTTAACTAAATGTGTTTTAAAAACACTCTAGCATTATCGCTTGAAATAATTGGACAATTCGCTACAAAAATACATCCAAAGTATTCTAAATTGGAAGAATCAGTATGTCGTATTCGCTTGCATATTTACTTGGAGTAATTTTGATATTGGAATAAACTTCAGCTCTGCAGCTAAATTGAATATTAAGATAATCCCGCGATCTCTTTTAATGATAGAGATGAAGAAACAGGTATTTGTAAATACAGCATATCCAATTAATGATCGTGTAGAATGTCTAATTAATATTCAATGCACTTTTTTAATTAATAATTAAGGAATCGCATAAAATAGATCCATGCTATCAAAAGAAGCACATTATGAATTTAGTCAATGATGGATTGGAAAGATAAAAAAGTAAAATTTTGGGGTATATTGAAGTTAAAGCTATAGGTAGGATGACAAGGTAGGATAAATAAGCCGCACGATTTGGAGAAAATGTTACTGTCTGAAACAAAGATTATTTTTTGCACTTTTATGTCGAACTTATTGTCAAGTTTTATCTGTATGCTTTTGAAATTTCTTCCTTTTTACTAATTAATTCAAAATTCCAACTAACGAAGAATTTGGTTATGAAATTACAACAAAATTATTAATATTTGAGACTTGATCATATTTTAATTCCGTGATATATTTGGATCTAAAATTCTCTATAAAAAATTTTGAGTTATTTAGTTTACTCTCTTGAAATTTTTTATGCGACGAAGAACAGTTAAAAAATACTGCCTCTTACAAAATGAAGGATAGCAAAAACGGATGAAAGGAATTACAAATTAAATTTTTCTAACAAAATAATATTGATTCATATCAATACTGAATACTATTTGAATTGATCATAAGCGCCCAAATAAGAAAAGAATGAGGAAGCAAAAAATATGAATTTCAAAAAGCTATTTTTTTTATGTTGTTGGATATGGTTAAAGAGAGAAACGAAAATTTTCAAAAAAAAAGGTCGAATTTTTTTAAAAGCATGCATTAGTAAACATTCATTAGCTCTTCTCGAAATGAAGTACAGCAAAAACGAATGAGAGGAATCACAAATTAAATTTTTCTAACAGAACAATATTGATGTATATCAATATTGAGTACTACTTGAATTGGTCATTTTTAGTAAAGTTTTTTTAAGTGGAACTTTTTTTCTTTCTAAATTATCGATTTAATCTTCGATAAATCAAAAAGAGACTTATTTTTTCTGGTGTAATTTAACAGAGTATCACAATTTTGCGAATTGAAATACAAAATAAAAATTGAATATGTTACTATGCTTGAAAAATAAAATTAGAAAAGCAGGAGGTAATTGTAACTCCTACCTGACCAGCTAATATTAATGCACCAACTGTAACAAAATCTTCGAACAATATTCGAGTAGCACTATCCGATAGAATTGTTGCGGTGTCCTGAAACAATTATCCAAAAGAAGGTACTATAACAAACTGTAAAACAAGAATCAGAGTTCGATTCAGTTGCCAATCAATATTCCCTTCAAGATATTTCGATAATTTTTTGCTCTGTGTGAAGCTTTAGGAAGTTAGATAGCATTGAACGCTTTAAAATACTGTAATTTTACAATTTTTACTATGAAAACCAGAAAAGCAGGTATTTGTAATCTCAAAGTGATGTTACCTGAGATGATGGTACCTGAAGGGCATGTAACGCTGGGCGGAATTGAAATCCGTTTTTAGATACTATCCAGTTTGATCCATTATAGAAACCCAATGATGGACTTTGTTTGAAATATACTTCTGGAATTGTTCCTCTTCTTAATTTTTAACTATCAGACATGTGAAATAAATAGAAAGCATAATCTTTGATCATATTCAATTTCTGAGGTATCTTAAAATCTTCCCAATAAATGAATTGGTAGAAGAATTGGTGATGACAAATTTACTTTTCTTTCTCTCATAGTTTTCCCATTTCAATTAAAAGCAAAAAATACTTTGCGATTTGAAAGAATACAAAAAAAATAAATTGATTTTAATTAAGTAGTCAATTTACATTTAAAAAATGCCCAAATCTTTTGATTTTCTTTAAAATTTTAATGATTTTGAGAAAGAAAAACCTGAAAGTTTGGACAAATTTTACAGGAATATTAAATTGGCTACTCAATGAAAATGGAAATTTTTTCCTTGCATTTTAATAGTACTATTTCATAGTAGAAGATTTCACCTTCCGCATTCTTCCTCCTCCCACACTGCCAGCTGCCCAATTTTCCCAGTTCCGTCATTTCATCGAAAAATAAAATTCCATTACTAGGAAGATCAATTTTTTGCGAATGTAAATCATTAGCAATCAGTACTGTGGTAATTTTTCCATCATTGAAATGAATTTGATCATTTTCGCAAGGGCCAACATTATTTTTCCAGTATTCCACGTTTTCTAGAATATTTGTCCGACGGAATATATAATTTAAACATTGGACATTTAATATTGAAAATATTAGTGACATAAATGTAAAAATATTTCGAAACATTTCCAGCATCTGTAATTAATCTTTATTGTAGAAGATTAAAAGAAGTTTGACCGATTTGGATTAGTTACATTTGTACAGTATCGATCATGTTTTACAATAATTCACTCGTTGAAGCTGTTGAACAGTTTCGTAGTTTACAATTTCTTGTTTGTAAAAATACTTTGCGATTTTTTTTTTCTTTCCTATCAATGATTATGACAAATTCGTGAAAAGCTCCTGATAAACGAACAATAAAGTGATAATTTTGGTTGTTAGATTTAAAAAAATCGTAATATATATTATTTATCTGGAAAACTGATTAAATAATAGCAAGAAATTTGGACAACAAAATTTCTAAGAATGGGTCATGCAAGATTGATTGTGCTAAATTATTGCA